ATTAAACGCAGGTGTCAGCGTTGGTTTTAAAATGCAACCAGCTCTGGAGATACGAAAGCAACCAGTATTGCTGGAACAGGGCCTAATGACCAGATGTTACATTATATGTGAGACTAGCATTTTATCCACCAGTGTGGGTGAAATGCTTCTTTCTTCCCTTTGGTATGATGTGATGCAGTAATGATTCATTCAGTGTTGTGGCTGTGTTTTCTGCTACATTTGACTATGAGTTTCTTTCCATACGCCTCTGAAGATCTATCAAACCATGCACGAATGTTTGTGTTTAGTCTTTACTAAAAAGCAGCTGCAGAGGGAGGGAGCTATCTGACCAAGTGTTGGTGGAGGGCATTGATCCAGTTACTGTCAGTGAGCTGCAAAGCAGAAGGCACGCAGACATAATATAGGTGCCTGTATTATGACTAATAGGGACGCGGGTGGCGCTGTGGGTAAAAGCCTCAGCGCCTGGGGCTTGCCAATCGAAAGGTCGGCGGTTCGAATCCCCGCGGTGGGGTGCGCTCCCATTGCTCGGTCCCAGCGCCTGCCAACCTAGCAGTTCGAAAGCATCCCCGGGTGCAAGTAGATAAAATAGGGACCGCTTACTAGCGGGAAGGTAAACAGCGTTTCCGTGTGCTGCGCTGGCTCGCCAGATGCAGCTTTGTCACACTGGCCACGTGACCCGGAAGTGTCTCTGGACAGCGCTGGCCCCTGGCCTCTTGAGTGAGATGGGCGCACAACCCCAGAGTCTGTCAAGACTGGCCCGTACGGGCAGGGGTACCTTTACCTTTACCTTATTAGGACTAATAGCAAGACTTTCCAGGTGAGCAGTTGGATGGGGGACCATGGAAAAGATTGGCAACTCTTGCCACCTCTATATTATGGCCTTGATCTAACTCATGGTCAGAATACAGCCTGACAAAGACCCCTATGTAGATCTATTATGAAGAAGAGGCAAGGGCCCCACAGGGAATCCCAATACAACTGGGACCTAGAAAGGCCCCATATACTTCTTAGGCAGCCCAAAATACCTAGCAACAATGGAAGCTGCTCTATATTGAGTCAGACGACTGGCCCATCTAGCTCAGTATTGTCTACACCAGAGGTGGGTGAACTTTGGCCCTCTAGATGTTGTTGTGTTGTTGGACTGCAACTCCCATATCCTTGACCATTAGCATGCTGCCTGGGTCTGATGGGAGTTGGGACCTACCAACATTTGAAGGGCCACATGTTCCCCATCTGTGGTCTACACTCACTGGCAGTGGCAATCGTGATTTCAGATAGGCGATGTTCCCAGCTCTACCTGCAGATGCTGAGGATTGAATGCTTCCTCTGTGCATCCACATCCTTAGTGCAATGGTATTATGGACAGAAACTTCACAAACTGCTCTTTCCTTTTCCCTGCTTCCATATGCAGCATATAAACCAGCTGTAAGAAATGCAGGTAATGCCTCCAATTGTAATGTGGCACGTGAACCAGTCCTGAGAGGGCAGTACTTTGCAAACTGAGAAATGAAACACAAGGCAATTAAGTGTTATTGTATCCCACTTGAGTCAGAACTCTTTAAACATTTACTCGGTGCATATGGGGGCTGGTAAATTGTTTCAGTTAGACACTAATGACTTCGTGCTTTTAAAGAAATTCCAAATGAGCCTGAAGATTGGAAATGGTGGATGGGAGTCTCAGCAGTCTTTATTCAGCTGAGCAATAGAGGTGGCAAAGTACACTGGGGGAAAGGAAAGGGTTGGACTGGAAGGATTCACCAAGCTGCTTTCTGTTCTCGAGTCCAGACCAGCTTCATTTTACTGGCACCTTCATTGCTTATCTCATTGCTGATTTGTTCGTTCTGGACCACTTATCCCCACTTGGCCTTGAAGCTCACTGGGTGACCTCGGGCCAGTCATTGCCTCTCAGCCAAAGTGACATCACAGGGTTGTTGTGGGGATTAAATGAGGAGGGATATAAATGCAATAAACATATAAAATAAATCATTTATACAGTTATTTCATAAAATAACTGCTTGATATACACGGTTTGATTGTAAAAAACAAACAAACCTCAAAGTGGTTAAAAATAGCTAACTAACACACCTTTTAGCAATTGGTATTGTGTTCACAGAGTCTAAAAGCATGAAGGGGGGCAGGCATATGCCTGCAACCCCCAGCCCTACATGGATATGCCAGGGATTGAAATTGGGGCCTTTGGCATACAAACCATCTTCTCTTCTACTGAGCTGTAGCCCTTAAATAGGGTGGTCCGTTGTAAAAGAGGACAGGGTCCTTGCAATTTTAAGTTGTGTAAAGAAATAATAATAATAATAAATTAAATAAATAAATAAGTTGTTACTGAAGCAAGAGCAAAGAGCCTGCACAGCAGAGGGGACAGCAATGCTTTGCACCAAATATTTTCATGCCTTTTCAGTATTTTTATTTGGCATATATGTTGCTCACAGTCAAGAGAAAAGCAGGGGGAGTCAACATGGCGCCCTTCAATGGCCAGGGATGACTAGATTTTCTGTCGAAAAGCAGCTGAACTTCCCTTGGAGTAAAGGAGCCACAATGAACACTTGTAGATTACACTGCTTTTTCAAAATAGGGAGACAGAGAAAGAATACTGGACATATCCAAAAGCGGGTCTTTAAACTTGGCTAATTCTCTTGCTGCTCTCTACAACAAAACTATTTTTCTGTCCCCTAGAAATCTGATACAGCTCCATCTATGCATACAATTTCTTTTTTACAGTTCTCTCCTAACTCCCTCCATCTGCATTCAATACACAGAGCAGCCTTATTTTTATATATTAAAAATTGGAATCATATTGTTTTCTTTCCCAGCACCTGTTGCTCAAATTATGGAGAATTTGCCTATAAGCACACCTTGAGCTTTCCCCCAGAGGGTTAAAGCTGATACTGTGTATGAGAGAAAAATGCAAGGGAAGCTTATTTCCTTCCACTGAGCATGAGATATGGGCATGCAGCAACTACTTTAATCACCATTTTTTGGCTGCCAGCCCAAAACCACATATTTGTGAGTAGTCCATTACTTTTCTTTTTCTTTTGGCAAAGAAATAGATCCAGGATTTGGGTGATAAGTCTCACCTAGCAGTCTAACATGCTTGCTCAGTCATTCAGATCTGGAACTATTTCCAGCTTTGGTACAGCAAACCCTTATAGTTTGCTAAGAAATTCTAAATGGCTTTATTTGCTGTCAAAAAGCTTGCAAAATAAGTGATTGGCAAGGATCCCTTGCTAAAGTATTAGTGGTCCAGTGAGGATGTGGTGTAGCAGCTACACCACAGTTTAGTGTGAGGAGAATGGGTGAGACTTGAACTTGTGCACTCCATTCCTGGCGTAGCTGCAAGAAGAATTTTTTTTACTTCCAGTTTCCATTTACCACATCTTACATTATTTGTACCCAACAAACTGTGGTTAATCTTAACACTGGTTTGTTTGAAACAAGCAAACTTCAAACAATGGGTTAGGAAGGTGGCTTGTTTTAGCAATTGGGATCCTCTTAAGGGAGGGTCCTGCTTGTGTGCAGGGCTTAAAGGACCCCTCCCCCATACCCTAAGAGCTGGGCTATGCCCGGCTCTTTCTTCTATTGGTCCCGCAATCGCGCCACCTCTAGGCAGCCAATCAGGCTGCTTGGCGAGATCGTGAGGGATATAAATCAACAGCGGGACGCGTCGCGCTCACTTGCTTCCCACCGCCGAAGACCCGCCCTCCCGTCCTCTTCTGCGTCGGTGGCCTGACCTTGCTTGGGACTTTGGTTGGTCGCCTGTTTTGCGGCAGGGGGCTGATAGGAATTTTTCCACTTGGCAAATTGGCACTGGCCATTTGGTTTTCGCCTACCTCCCAGCAATTGTCACAACTTTGTAAGGTTTGGCGGTTAGGCATTGACTCTGTGGGGAATGTGGGAGGGGAGGTGCGGCCATCACCTGACCCTCCATGAAAAAGGGTATTCCATTAAAGGGATCCAGGGGTCCTGGATCTCATCCGAAGTCCACTTGAGGAGCTAGGGCCATGCCAGGACCACGGGAACATTGGGGTGTGCTTCCGTTGATCTACATTGTTGTAGCTCCCTCGTTGGGTTACCCTTCTAGACTCGCTGCGAGGCGGGCAGGAGTCAGTTATAGTTCGTCAATGCCTAAGCCAATACTGCTCACTTTGTGTAATTCAATAAAGTTGTGGCCTAAATTTTGCCCAGCAACCTTAATCTTAAATATGTATCTGTGTGAATTCTTTTACGGGGGGGTGTCCTGAGGCCCTCGAGACGCAAACCATGTTTAAGTTTATGATATTACGTATTGTATCTTTTTCTGTGCTGTAAGTCGTTTGGAGACCTTCAGGTGACAAGCAAATAAGTTTAAGAAATAACAAAAAGAAATTTAGTGAGGTACTTTTCAAAAGCTTTTTTGTTATTCTTAAGTACACAGTACACATGCTGCTTTTTGCTTCAGCGAGACTTGTTCTATATGCTTGGTAATTCTATCTTAAATCATACTTTCCACCAATTTCCCCAGAACATACATTAAGCTAACCAGTCTGTAATTTCCCAGATCCCCACTGGATCTCTTTAAAAAAAAAATAGTTTTATGGCCCTCAGAAATAGAGACTTATATTAGGTAGGAGTTGTGTATTTTCATCATAAGATTAGCAATTTCACATTTGAGGATTGTAGTCTTAATATTCAATATTCTCTTTTAACACTTGGTTGAATGGGTTCATTTTTATTATCACTAATGTACTGCACACCTTTCTCATCTGATTTTTGGTACTTCAGCGTATTCTCATTGGGCCGCTCTGAGCCTGGCCTTGGCTGGGGAGGGCGGGGTATAAATAAAAATTATTATTATTATTATTATTATTATTATTATTATTATTATTATTAAGATTCGAGTTCGTTTGTATTTGTGTCATGAAATATGCTTGTATTCAAAGGTGAACTGTTTGTTTGTTTGTGTGCATCACAAAGGGGATGTAACTTGGGCATTTATTACCTTATAGGTGAAAGAAGCAATGCAAAGAATCCATGACAGAGGCAACATAGGAAAATTAATTTTGGATGTGGAGAAAACACCAACTCCATTGGTAAGTGAAAATAAGTTTTAGGCAGTGGTGACTAATTTCCTTTTTGGACAGATGGTCACATTCACTATTGTTGAACCCTCGGGGGGGGCATTGCAGCAGTGGGTGTTGCCCAAAATGGGCGTAGCTCCCTATTTGTGGAATGCTCTCTTGACCAATTCTGTGCCTGGTTCCATGAGGTTTTGTCATTTCTTAACAATGCATTTAGAGGGTTGGACAGCATCCATTTCTCCACCCATTTCTGGGAGGGGAGTTCTTATTAAAAAAAAAAAAGTCCTTTCAATTGTTCCAAATGGAAGGCAAATTAGAGCTCGCCTAAGTTTCTTTCTGGCTTTGGGGTGTATTGGGAGAATGGGAAGTGTTGGATCAGTTCCTTTCCCTACACTGTTGCCCCTTTCCCTACACTGTTTTCTTTTTTTTTTTTAATAAAATTTTTATTTGGTTTTCTGGTTTTATAAAGACAAAGCATACACAAAGAAAAGAAAAAGACAAAAACATGTATAAAATCAACCAATCCCCGTTTCATAAACTTGTTCCCTGACTTCCCCCCACCTCCCCTCGTGCATCCCAGTTTCAAGATTATATCAGCAAGTTGGTATTTCTCCTCTTAACAATGTTATTCATCACCTTATTTTATAATAAAAATTAATTTTCCTAAGTTGGACTTAAGTTCTCTTCCATCGATTTTCATTTTATCTTAATTAAGAGTCATATTAACCAAACCTAAAAGTCTTAAGAGTTTTTAAGAGTCTCTTCTTCCCTCCCTCCCATCCCCGGTTTTTGTCCCTTCCCAATATAAATCCAAATTCGAATTTCTCAGCCTGGGTTCCTCACGTCCGAGGCTTTCAAATCCCTTTCAGTCCCTCTCCGCCTGTCCCGTTGGTAGTCCTTTATGTCAGTCATCAAGTCTGGGAAAAGTTCTTTCACCATCAAAGTGTTTCCTCTTCCCACAAGGGGGTTCAAAAGTAACTGCTGAAGAATTTCCACAAAGCCTATCTCTTCAAGATCAAAGTCCAAACGGAGGCCCCAAGCATATTTCTTTATTTTAAATTTCTGTGTTCCATTTTGTCCCGGGACCTCCTTCTTCTTCTTCTGTATCTTTCGCAGACTTGTAGTAGATATGTTCCCAGCGTTTCCTTGCTTATGTTCCGCAGATGTCAACTTTTGGTTGTTACTTCCCAGGATTACTTCTTCTTTTTCTTGTTGTTTAGTCTCTTCCAACTCTGTAGGTATTGTTTCCCATTCAGCTGTGAATTCTTTCTCGTTGAGGTCCTCAATACAAAGAGCAGAGTTGCCTGTTCCCAAGGTCATAGTCTCAAGCTGTTTATTCATGGCCAAGCTCTGCTCTTGTAAAGTTCCCACCAATTGAAACATCCTTTCAATTTCCACCAGTAACTTTCCTTCCACAGCCATTGTATCCATTGTAGTTTCACAGAATTCCCCCTAGGGGGAATCTGGTTACTTATTAGCCTTTTCACCAACAATCCTTTCACTGATTATTATTACTTTGTTTCCAACGATTTTAGCTCAATTGTAACTCGTCTTAGTCAAGAGATGACAATTTTTGCACTTTAAACCGACCGTTTGGCAGCTTTGACAGCTGTCAAACTCCGCAGCTCTTACACAGGCACCGAGGCAGGACGTTCCCGGGCCCGGGAGGGGGGGTTGTTTGAAGCAGAAAGAAAGTTCCCAAAACTCCACTCTCCAGCCCAAAATTTCCTTTAGTTAAATCTTAGAAGTTAATGTCCTTTTTAACTCACCCCACCAGGGGTAGGCTCTCCAGCTTAGCTCTTATGCCGTTGCTTAGGTCGTCTGCAAGAGGGGGGGTGCGGACTTCCTTTTAGCACACACCCCGATCGTCTCCAATTCAAGGTAAAATTTTTATATAGTCCCAATCCGTCTTACTCACGGGTAATTCTTTCAGTCCAAATTTTCAAGGAAGGAAGTCAGCGCTCTCTGGTCCTGGCTCGCGGCTTCACTCCACCGAGGTAGCGATCGACTCTCAGTGCCACGCCACCCCCGTATCCCCTCCGCAGCCTTTAAAAAGGCTCTTTGCGAATCAGGGGGGGCGCTTAAGGCACCCGCCGAGTCTTCAGTCCGCAGGCTTCCGCGCCTGCGGTTTTTAAGGGTCCCCGCGTCGCCGGCGCGGCAAAGACCCATCCTCAGTGGAGCCGGTTCCCTCCGGAGCTCGGAGGGAATCCGCCATTTCCAGATCGCGTCAACCCGGAAGTCGCCTTTCCCTACACTGTTTTCAGTCTTACTGGCATCAGCACTCTGACAATCAGCAGGACAAGGGCCATAGAAGTTTCTGCTGCTACAGGGAAGTGTCATCCAACATCTGATCTCCTTCTCCAAGGCCAGAATTCTTTCTCTGCCCTTGGCATGGAAGATCTCATGATCCATATAGCCCTGGGACATCCTCCCAGGGAACATAGAATTCCAAAGTTACACTGGGTTAACAAGGAAGGAACAATCATTTGCAAACAGCCTTCACTTTAATTAATCACATTCATGAAATCTACACATTTTTACATCAACACAGACCCCTTATTTTTTCTTGGTTGCTATATAGGACATATTTCATTGTGGTGAAAGAGTGATGGAGGATTCTACACATAATTCATTCACTGGTTCCATTTCTTTTTATGGCCTAAGAACTAAATTTCTGAACAGTTTGCTTTCCATAACAAAAGTCTGAACTCTTGCTTTTTAATAGATAATGTGGAAACAATGCGTAATTCATTTATGGAACTTATTGCTGCAAGATGTAGTGATGGCCACTGACTTTGGTGGCTTTTAAAAAAGGATTAGGCAAATTAATGTAGGAAAATAGATCCATAAATAAGTTGTAGGATGCCTCTAAACTGTCAGTATTTTGCGGGAGTTATGCAAATGTATACCAGAACATCCAGTTTATGCAGCTTAAATGGATTAAAGTGCTCTGTTTCCCTAGCACAACAAATCTACTTGTTAAAAGAATCCGACTTCTTGCAGTTTGGAAAGTGATGGAGAGAATACATTTAAAAACTTGCAATGGATGAATGAGTAACATCCTGCAAATAAATAATAATGCTCAGTAAAGACTGGATATAATTAACCTTCACATCAGTTTTGCGCCAGAAAATCCGGACGAATGCTCATTAAAAGTAGGTCATCTGAAGTTGCCCCAAGCCATAATGGAAGTTATCTCCACTCTTAGAAACAGTATGCCATTGAGTACCAGTTGCTGAAGGCAAAACATCATGGGAAGGGCTGTTGCTTTCAAGCTCCACTGGTGATTAAGTGATAACACATGTCCTCAAATCCTTGGTGAGTTAGGGACTTCCCCTGCATGCGAAGTCAGGCTCTGGTGGATTGAGCAGATGAGAACAATAGTGGGTCCAATTGTCAAGACAGCAGTTTCTGCACATCATTTAGCCTAATAAAGTTATTGACATAATATGGATTTGGAGCTGTATTCAAATTTTAATTTTACTCAGAGCAAAACAATTGAAATTCATGGACATGACTAGGGATGGGACTTGTTGCTTTTCTTAACTCAGTTTGCATTTGCAGTTTTTATCACAGTTGCTCAGTCCATGATGACACTGATCTTCTTACTCCTTACTGCAGTACACTGGTACCTCGGTTTAAGAGCAGCCCTATTTATGAACTATTTGGTTTACGAACTCCACAAAACCAGAAGTAGTGTCCCGGTTTGTGAACTTTACCTCAGTCTAAGAACAGAAGCCAAACGGTGGAAGGGCACCGGCGCTGGGAGGCCTCATTAGGGAAAGCACGCCTCGGTTTAAGAATAGTTTCAGTTTAAGAACGGACTTCCGGAACGGATTAAGTTCGTAAACTGAGGTACCACTGTATGGGCTTGTTGTGCAGCCTTAAATGTCAACAGTGAAGTTGGTTCTGATGTCAATCTTTATCATTCTAGCCAAAAGAAATGTGAGCTGCAAATGCAAATCACCTGCCCCCAGGGCACCCAAGAATGACTTCTGTCCTTTGGGCCACCTCCCAGTGTGGTCCTTTCTTCGCCTCACAGTGGGATCGTGTATTTGAATACAATACAATTGAACTCAGTGAAACTTACTTCTGAGTAAACATGCATAAGATACACTTTTGACTCTGATCCCTTGAGTTAAAAGCTTGGGGTAAAAGGTTCATTCTGGATAATCAGTATCACAGGACATTTGCAAGATTTCTGTTTGTGAACATGCATTCTTTTTTCTTTAATGACTTTTGAGATCACTTTTTGTGAACTTCACCCCCTAGGCATAACTAACTTTGGTCCATCAATTTTAATAACTCTACTGTGAGTAGAGCTAACATTGTATGTGTGCAACCTTTAATTTTTTAAAAAATGTTGCCTAATGGGCCAACTCTGCTATCCTTGGCATTTTTTCTTGACGCATTGCATAGAATCATAGGAGCGTAGAGTTGGAAGGGACCAGCCCCCTGTCAAGCAGGAATCTCAAATAAGCATCCATGGCAGGTGGCCATCCAACCTCTTGGTTTCCTTTGTTTTGTTCATAGATGGCCAATGACAGTACAGAAACCAGTGAAGCTGGCGAAGAGGAAGAAGACCACGAGGGGGACAATGAGAATAAAGAACGTATGCCATTCATCCAGCAATAGCTATGAGTGGAGGGAATGAAAGCGGGAAGAATTGATAGAGCAAAAGAAGGGAAGATGACTGGAAGGTCCATTTTGTGCACCAGTGAACAAATGCTCTAGTACAGTGTGTGTTGTTCTTTTTTTGTCTGCAGTCAGCTGAGCTATAAGCTGTTGATCATTGATGTTTTGAAACTCAAGTGCCATTCCCACCCAGTCCAGTATTATAACATTCCATCACATGCCACCCAGTTTGCCTGTTGAGTTCCTGTCTGAAGCCTTATTAGCATCCACAGTAAACTGAAATGTGAACCTCTTCTCTTGTGGTTTCAAAAAGGCAAGTTTTCAAGCCAGTTTTAGAAGGGTGATTTCTGGTTGGCTTCTTCTTAAACCTCACCTATTCCATTGGCCAGTGAAATGATTACAAAAACATTTATAATCATTTGTTTCAGTGGGTGAGCTCACCCACCCACCTGCCTAAGGATAATTCTGTGGTGGACAAAACGGGTATGTGTACTCCTTTCAGCACTGCATATTAGGCATTATGAGAGAAGGCTGAGTAGGCTTGATTCCTGTCATTCCTTTTTAAAAAGAAAGAGAGAGAGCGCTTTGTGAATTGGGCCTCCATGTAAATAGGCCCACATATTAGACTCATACAACAGCTTATGTTGTTCAAGGTGGGAGAAAGCACCCACATTCTGCACTCCAAATTTCAACCTTTAACCAAATGATGGAGATCCCGAGCATCTCCATCTATACAAAGAGGCAAGACTGCCTTCAACACATATGTCAATTAGAATTTTCACCAAGGATTTATTGATGCCCCCAGCTGTGCGAGGAGCTTTTAAAGGAGAGTGAGAACTTTTCTTTTGAAGCACAAATGCAGGCTGCTGACAGGACAGTTCACTATCCATTCCATCCCCTGATGATACTTCTGAACCAGCAAGTCCTTCTTAAACTCTCAAGACAATAAAATACCTCATTTGTTCTTTATTGTTTGGTGTACAGAGAAATAGACTAGGTGACAGAAAAGCACTGATTGGTATAACTACATGTACATTAGTGGACAGAACCCATTAATTAATTGGGAAAAAAGTATTCAGTCCTGGTGCCAACAAATATGTTTACTGTTGGCCCATCTAAGTTTATTGCCTTATAAAGAAAAACATGCATAACAGCCCCCCCCCAAAGTTCTAAAAAGTTCCTTTGCCACAAAGAGCTACAGAATTCCCTGATCATTCAAAAGTGCACTCTTAATATTTTTAAAGGTTGGTCAATGATAGCCATCTCTGTACATCACATTGGGATAAATGTTTATTAATCCAAGCACCAAAACAGAGCTGACCTAATTTAAGTAATTCTTCTCTCAGTTTGAAGCACTTCACCACACACTGATCTAACACAGAACTGTGTCAGGCCCCAAGAGAGAGGTCTCTTAGACCCCAGTGCCTCCCCTTCCGCATTGACACAGCTCACTCACACCCATGTAATTCTAGTATTGTACATCACACTAATTAAAGAAAACATCTCACCTAAATGTGTAGCTGAACTGTTAAACTTAACATCATTTTTCCAAGACAGCAAAGAAAAATCAGTTGCTAACCTTTTTCCTCACAGTGACAAGGATGGATTTGGATTAACACAGTGTGTCATTTTAATGATTCTCATTCTGGTATTTTTCTAATTTTCTCGCATTGCGTTCTGTGTATAACTGTCTCCTTCGTTCACATGAAAATTGGATTTGGTTGGTAAATCATTATATATTGAGCCTACTAGCATTTAGCCTGACTCTAAATCAACAAAGCTACAGATATGAACAAAATTGTATAAGGATGAGAAATGCTTAAAAAGGGCCCGGCGGGGGGTGGGGGGGAGGGAGGTTGGAAGTATAATTGTCTAAGTGTTAGAAGAAATAATCAGATTTGTATGAACAATTTAGCATAATTCCAGCATATCTCTTTATCCTATTCCTCATATAAAGTAAAAGTGCCATATTGGGCTGCACTTTGCAGTTGGTGTGCAAGCAAAATGAAGCCATTTGGAATGTCATAGCCACTGGGACTGCAGCTGAGGTATTTAAAAGAAGCAGCCATTCATTTTTAATTAAAAAGTAAGGTAGAGCTAGAACGGGCGGGTGTGAGATAGAACAACATTTAACTTACAGAGCAATCCTATGCACATTTACTCAGATGTAGGTCCCACTGTATTCCATGGAGCAGTATTTCAGTCAAATAATTCCTCATGTGTGACACTTCACACAATAAACCATAGTTATGAATGACCAGGTGTTTCATATACATTTGGGTCATTCTTTGGGTTAGCCAGGAAAACGAAAAGAGTGGGCAGATACATCTCTCTAAATACTTTATTTGGGAGAGGGCAGGCCTGCTTAAGGCTTAAGGGTACTTGTCTCTGTTGGAATGAGCTGAGCCAGGATGTGGTTCATTTCTTTTACAGATGAACCAAAGAGAAAACAACAAAAGCCAGGAGCATGAAAAAAAATCATTTTTTTAAAAAAAAAATACCAAAGTAAATGCAAGTTGACATTTAAAGTTGATTTCCCATGGCGAACTGATCTTCTCAACGCTGCAAAACGGGTCTAGGTTATGGCTTGACCCATCCTGACACAATCACCATCTGAAACGATTTTTCAGCAGGCAGAGTTATAATGTATACCAGCATTGGAGCATTCACAAGATGAGCTCCAGTATTCACTCCAGTACAGTCGTACCTTGGTTTTCGAACAGCTTAGTTCCCGAATGTTTTGGCTCACAAACGATGCAAACCCGGAAGTGACTGTTCTGGTTTCTGAACTATTTTTGGAAGCCAAACGTCCGACGGGGCTTCCGCAGCTTCTGATTGGCTGCAGGAGCTTTGGTTTTTTGAATGTTTTTGAAGTCGAACGGACTTTCGGAACAGATTCTGTTCGACTTCCAAGGTACAACTGTATTGTTGATTTAATCAGAATTGACTGTGTTACTCAACCCATGCATGTTTTCTCACAAGACAGTCCCATGTCCAGCGGGCTTACTCCCAGGTAGGTTTGCATAGCATAGTAACTTTAACACTGCAGATGCAAATCTAAGAAGACTTACTGCCGCCTACTTTTTGCTGCACAAATTTTCTCTTCATTTTGAATTATGTGTGGCAAATATAACTCACAAGAACTCACACCTAAGTTATAATCAAGCATTTATCCTGAGCATGCACAAAGTATAAAGGGGGCTGCTCACTGGTCCTACTCCTGACCTTTATGTGTTTAACATAAAGGTCTAAAGTGTGCTGTTTTTTAAAGTGCATTTAGAAACCCTGAGCCCTGCTCTCCACAACCTTTTTGGCATCACATGTATAAGGCTGAACATTTGTTCTTGCTGTGATTCTCCTCAGAGTATTTCCATCAGACAAGACTGAAGATTAAACATTTTTCCTGAGTGTAAAGTGAAGACACTAAGAGCCTAATCAGCACCAGATCAGGATTGTTGCTTTGCTTTAGAGATGCATTGATAGGATCCAACTTGTAGGGGTCAATGTGTAGTACAGTATTCCTAAGCATCTACTTTTGTTGGTGAGGGTTGTGGATTCATGCCAAATTCAAAATGGATCAATTGCATCATAGGCATTTACAAATGCTGGCTGCTTCCAGGACCAAATTGTGCAGCAAGATACACATACACATGTGCAATGTGTTCCATTAATGAGTCACACATATAGTTCAATCTCATTCTCAGTTCCATAGTGTTATGCCTTTTTGTATCATCAGGAAGCAAGATGTGGGTGGAACTCTTTTGTTTGCTTTGAGATCTGATTGTGGGAATCACTCCAGGAGGCCTCTCATCCCTGGGAAATATTATTTTGGAACATTGCACTGAAAGAACATTTTGCTGTCAAGTTTAATCAGAGTTCATGCAAATTTACTATAACTAGGTTGAAACTGAAATCCCACCTTTATTGACCTCCACTTAATTTGCACCATTTTCACTAGAGTCAGGATTTGATCCTGATACTTAAGATTTAAGTACACAAACAGGTGCAAACCACATGAGATATTCATTCATGTTCTCTCTCTCTCTCTCTCTCTCTCTCTCACACACACACACACACACACACACACACACACATTCCTGGCTTGAAATTCTCAGAAAACTGCATTCTCCTACCATGCCAACATTGCATTGTTGCTCACTTCGAAAATGAGCTCCATACATACTCCCATCTGTTAGAGAGATGACTGGGAGCACAAGGCCATTTCAAACTGTATGTTCCTTGTCTGGATATGATGGCTCTACAACAGTGCACATAATCACCCAATGCCCAGTCTCAATTGTCCAATCAAACGCTTAGAAAGAGATTTAGAGAGATGGCCCGTTTCAAATACATTGGGGGAGCATGTAGCTGTGTGTTTGCACCTCACAGATTTATTTTTTTAAAAAACCATTGTATTTTGAAATTAAGGTAGAGTCTAGCCTTCAAATGATATGCTAGTGTTCCTTGTGAGAGAATATCCACATATGTAACTACTCCACATGCATTCTGAAGTGGAGAGACTATGTCACCTTTTGTTCTTCACACCTACATCTAATCACAAATTTAGTGTTGACTTTCATGGGACTACTCTGAGGGACATGGCCCTATTTCTTTAAGTACAAATGGTTGAATCACCTCTCTTCTGGGTAGTACGAGAGACTGCAGAAAGGGGTTAGCATTTCCTCAGTGTTTTACTGGTACAGGGGAAACGGAATCATTACTGAACTCCAAACTGTAACACTGTCAGCGGGGCGCTTTCAATTTCTCTCTAATTAATTGGTTATTTTCTCCCAGTGAAAGCAAATTATTTCTCAATTTCGATAATGGAACTGTGAAGGCCTCTCTTTACCATCAGCCTGAAGGAAGAGAACCGGAACACTTGTTTTAATTGTTATTTGTTGCTTTAGAGCTTTTGTTATATTGTGCCTACCAAGCAAATGATGTTTACATGAAAATATGAATAAAATATTAAGCATAGCATTAACTTTGGCTGGTGTCGTTTAATAGAGAGTGCTGCTCCTGACCAGAGGTGAGTTCAGGATGGGCCCATAGCTCAGTGACAGAGTAGGCACTTTGAATGCAGATGTTCCTGAGTTCTGTCCCAAGAATCTCTGCTTAGAAGGACCTAAGATAGCAAAGGTAAGAAAGACCTCTAGCCTGAGACTTTGAAGAGCTAATACTGCTCCCCTGTATAAACCAAGGAGAACCCAGGGAGGAAGGGATAAAGAATGTCCAGCATTTGCTTCTATTCCAGCTGGGCTGGTTTGGTTTTGAATGCTTGGTTATTCTTGCAATACAAGATTTCTGATTGCAGGGAACTTTTAACATGAAAGAACATTCAAAAACACGACTCCATACCTACAGTCTATAGTGGAACAGGGAAACTGTGGCCCTCCAGAGATTGTTGGACTACACCTGCTTTGCTCAAGGACAGTTCTTTCTGACTTGGAGGCAATAGGCCTGCTTTCAGGTGAAGTTTTACAAGTTTTATTAGCTACACAGCACACACTTAGACATAAGGTGCACATATGTAATTACTAAGGCAAACTACTAGCATTGAAGGACTGTCATAGCATAACCTTTCCTGTGCCCATGACTCATTGAAGTCCCATTGAGTGTAACAGTTTGTGCAATCCTAAACATGACTACTCCTATATATGCCCCATTTTCAATGGGACTTAGGGTGCTTCCAGATGACCTGCTTATTTAGCATTCATCCTTGGCTTGCAGGGAGATTAGTAGGGATGTCTGCTGGGTTTGGCTGAATCCTGAAGCTGAGATGAACCCCAGATCATCCCAGGGCAGAGCAGAATGTAGGGAATGTGCTAAGGAAGCAGACCCCCTCAGAACATCCCAATCAACTCCAACTGTGGAATCTGAATTTTTGATGGCAGTCTGGAAGTGCCCTTACTCTCAGGCAAGTGTGTCTAGGGCTGTAGACTTAGTCTGGATGGAACACAAGAACTCTGTGGTCTCACTGAATTTACATGAGATGGTTAAGCATGTGCTTAAATTTCACACTGTAATAATCACTAGGCAGGACTGCCATAATACACCATGTGCTGGACTACCATTGAAGACTTCAACAGGTAAAAAATGTGGAGCTTGCTTGCCAGCAGAAGTGAGTTGAGATGCTCCTAGCACATCTAACCCATATTTTCTCAGCTGCACAAAATGATATAGAATCCAATTTAACTGTTTTTCTGTCTCGTACATTGAAGATTACATGTGAAAATAAAACTTTACATTTGATCATCAGAACCTTTTCTTTTCCTTTCCAAATAGGTACAAGTTTTATAGTTCGGATTTAATTAGTTTTTCAAAATCATGGTTAGCAAGCAGAGCTATAATTATAATATGAATGGGAACAGACTCAGGCATGTAGGCAAAATATGAAACAAGAGTCAAAGAAAAAGCAACAACAATCATTTGGGCCATACTGGGAATTCTTTCTCCATCTCTGTAACTTGGACAAGATTTATTTTCTCTTCTTTGCTTTTTTGTTTGTAATTCCTTTATTTTACAAGATACTATAGCCTTAGGCATATGTTGCATGGGTGCAGGGCAATGCTGTCTTCACTAAAAAGTGGGGTCATGCTATTAGCCCAAGGCTGCGGAACCTCACATCTAGGCTTATATGTCTAGCCCTTGAAATGCATACTTTCTCCCTAAGCTGCACCCACTCTTCTGAAACCACATCATCTTTTTGGCCCTGTTTACTGCCTGCTTGAAGTGCTTTTTCCTGACTTGATCTGTGTTCTATCAAGAAAAGAGGTCTTTTTTGGATTCAGACAAGGCAAATAGCAGCACACCAAGTCTGTTCCTTGATAAATGGAACGCTTCGTGAATAGCGAGTAGTTCTCGGTCGTACACCGTGTAGTTCCTCTCGGACTTATTCAGCTTCCGCGAGAAGAAGGCACACGGTCTCCATCCTGACTTACTCCCCCCTGGTTGCAGAAGCACTGCCCCAATCGCCCGGTTTGATGCATCTGTTTCCACTCTCATAGGTTTTTGTAAATCCACATGCAGGAGTTGTTCTTCCGAAGCGAAAGCCCTTTTCAGTGCTTCAAATGCTCGCTCCGCCTCCGCCGTCCAAACAAATTTCTTCTTGCTGCTAAGACAGTCAGTGATGGGAGCCGTCAGGTGGGCAAAGTTCTTTATGAACTTCCGATAAAAGTTTCCAAACCCTAGGAATCTTTGCACATCCTTCTTCGTTTTCGGTGTTTTCCATTCCAGTACCGCTTGGACCTTGCCTGGGTCCATGGCCAATCCCTTGTCTGACAAGCGGTACCCCAGGAATTCCACCTCCTTGGTATGAAACTGACACTTCTCCAGTTTCACCCACAGCTGGTTGGCTTGCAGCTTCCCCAACACTTCTCGAACGTCCCTCACATGCTGCTCCTCATTCTCTGAATATACCAACACGTCGTCCAAGAAGGCTACACAATTCTTGTACAGCAAAGGTCCCAGGACGTGGTTCATAA